ATAAATATCCAGCAACAAAATTTATAAAGATTTTAATTAAAAATGAGGAGAAATTATAAGGTGTTTTAAAATAATTCTCCTTTTGAAAGACTATGACTTGCATATGCTTGGGCCTTGATGGGCTTAACGTGCTCATCAAATCAAAACATTTTCTTTTTTTCACACTGCCAATGACATCAAATCAAATCATGCTTGTTACAAAAAAAAAAAAAAATCAAATCATGCTATGAGAGTTCTTTAGTTTGAACCACAAAACAGGGGAGGCAGTGTGTATGGAGAAAATTGTTGGGAAGGATCTTGCTACGGTGCCTGACAATGCCTGAAATATTAATCTTTTAGTGTTCAGGTGAAACGATATTCTAGGCAACAGAAAAAAAAAAAAAATCAAAGTTGGGATATGAACGAGTAGAATGACATTTAATGAAGGGAAGATATTTTTTGTTGGCACGAAAAAAAATGAAGGCAAATATTTTAATTTAAGACTTGAGTTATCCATTCCAACAATTAAGAACAGAAAAATTGAATTTGGGAATTTATTGTTTGTTAAATTAACACTGACACTGTTATTATCGTTGAATAGGAATTTAATATTCATTACAACAAGATTAATTAATTAGACCAAATTGATAGATTTTTCAATGCAATTCAATTTTTTAGATTGAATGTCTAAATAGTAATATTTTTTCTGCCTATTATACGGACTGCATAGGTAAAGGGATCCGACGTGATCTCATCTCATCTAGTACTTTTATTTCTTAATATAAAACCCAGTCAATTAATTTAAAAAAAATAGTAAAATAAATTTTTTTAAAAAATATTATATTTATTATTTGTAAAACTAATTTGTCTGACTTATAAACTGATATATAATCATTACATAAGCATTTCAACAAGATCATGTAACATATATTAATTATAATTAAATAATTTTTCAGTTTTTTAAAATTAGTCAGCTAGATCTTATATTAAGAACCAACAATATATTTAATTTAAGTGGAACTTAAGATTATTTTATTTAATATCGATTCAATTTAAATGGAAACTTTTTTTTTAGGGGGATTTGCTCTTAAATGTCCTTCCAGATAGGACCAGGGGATTTAGGAGGATATTAATGCTGATATGGGACCATGCTGGAGCAGGAGTGCATGTGGAAAACGTGCCGCGTGGAAATTGACGCCGAATTGAGAGAATACCAAAACAATTTTTCAATCATGATTTATAAAATTACAAGATAACTATGTGACAAAAGTTGTCTCAAATTATGTGAATGAGTTTTTAAAACATTACTATTTATATTTAGAGATCGTAACATGATCTTGCAATGATGCTATCAATTTTTTTTTAACGCTAAACACATGGATTTTCTTAGTAGAGATAATTCTATTTGAGTCCTTCAGTGTCGGCAATTCTGGAGGGCTTCCAGAATGGATTAAAAATTACAATGCATAAAATTACAACTACATCTATATATACAATAAATAAAAATCAAAGCCAAGCTGAGCCATTTTCTTATTCATAATGGCTCCTCACTCATTTTACTGTTCTATGAACAGTAACGGCTGTGTGAACAGTACAGGCTTACATTTCGGGCTGCGTGTTGCTTACCTATTGCGTGTAACTCTATTGAAATAACATCCACATGTGCATGACAGTTTTTGCTTAGTATTGTACGTTAGTTACTCTATCCGGGTTTCTTATAAATGGTTTTGCAAATGGGTTGGCGCAGCTACTTCATTTTTGAGTTGGGGATATCTTTAGTTGAGGTAAGTTCTTTCCTAATTCGCTTCAACCTTTTTTTTTCTTTATACTATTTGGCAGTAGTTTCTTGACTCATCTCGGTGGTAAGCAGGGCATGAAAACACCGTTGAACGCACGAATATGGTTGTGTTTGATGATGATGTAACTGCACTTAGGTATTTTTTTTCTTCCAGAATGAATACACTCCTTGCATTTTCATGCGTTCTGTTGTTTGTGACCAATTCCCTCATATCTTGCTTCATCTTGTCCTAAAGATTGATAATTTTTTTATGGTTGGTGCTTTCAGAGGTTTAATGGTCTCGCTTTGTCATTCATTTCATAAAAATCGAGTGTTTAATGTAGTATGATTGATTTTATAACAATGTTTTTTTTTCCTCGCGGGGACAGCTTCTTGGCAAATTACACAAATGATACTAGAGTGTACTGGAACCCTTATTTTTATGAGATCATGTATCTGAAGAGAGAATTGTTGATCCCTCTGTTCGAATCCCTTTCAAACCAGTCAGCTTTTTTTCTTCTCTCCCCCTCTCTTGTACCTTCTTGAGCAGGTGGGAGCCGTTTCTCTTGTCATCTGGGCGAGCTTCTTCTACGGCGTCTCCCTCTCCGGCTTCGGCCGAGGGCGGAGACGTCCGTATACTTTGTAGTTCGTTGTTTTTCTTTGCGTCTCTTTGGGTTTTTTAAGGTGGTGTTGTTGGTTTTTACGGCTATTAATAGATTTGAGGGTCTCTATGGCGGCAAATCTTCCATGCCAGCTTTGATTCGTATTTTTGGGGGTTGGGGTCCGATGATTATGGTCCTTATTCTTGTTGGCTATACCTTTCAAAGGACTACGGGTGGTTTTTGGTGGCGAATCCGAATGGTAAGCTGGAGCGTAACAGTGTATATGTCGACCTTTTTGTTTGCCGTGCAACTGTTGGTAAGGTTACTTCCTTCTCCCTCTTCATCTCCTTTGCTAGTGACTGCAGATGGTCTTGCTTCTATGAGATCCTTTCATGGAGTTTGTTCAACATCCAGTTTGGATGATTTCTTGCCAACAAGAGGTGTGGATCCTTTGGGATGGTTCTTCGAACACCCACTCCTTACAATGGCGTTGTTGCCGGTGGCGGTACTCTTTCCTCTGCAGTTTTCTAGTGAAAAGATGACGGGGGCTCTGGAATCCTTGACGGCAGCGGTGGCAGCTCCCCTCTAATCTTTGCTAGGGTTAGGCTCTTTTAGGGTTTCTTTTGTTTGTAGTGTTTGGGCTCTTTTCCTGTAGACTTTTGTTGGGCTTTGTACCTCTCTTTTTATCTATTGAAATTACTATATTCTCTGGTCAAAAAAAGAAGAGAGAATTGTTGAGGCCCGATTAGAGAAGATGAATATGATTTGGAACTGTATTAGGGTAGTTAGGGCCATAGCTTTTGTATCTAGTGGTTTTGGGCTATAAGTTGATGACAAATGTTTTGTTAGGTCCTTACTAGTGGTGATCATTCATATGTAATGGGGTACTTCATACTTAAGTTTGTATGGGTTGTTGGATGTTTTAACTTATATGATGTATTAATTATTGATATATTAGTTATGACTTTCCGCGATGCTTACGCATTGTATATGATATGCGTGAGCTTGTATTAGTTATAATTATTAGGCGGATTATATGTTTGCTAATTATTAACAACAACATGAATGACTGATGAATGCTACATATATATATGCAGGGAACGTGTTCCCTGCATATATATATGGTTCAAGGAAGCATTAATATCAGCTTTAGCAGGGAATAGTCGGCTGCTTGAGTACTCAATGTAAACATGATTATATGGTTCAAGGAAGCATTAATATTTTTTTTTTGTATAGTAATAAAGGTGTTGGTGACGGTATTTAAATAGTTAACCCGTTAAATTTTTTTTCAGCTATTGAATAATTTTTCCAATCCAGCAAGTAATGCAAAATTGATTTCTTGAGTTTCTAGTGTTATGTAGTTGGTTATTGTGGTCCTTTGTTATGAGTTAAATGGCATAATGTAATGGCCGAACTAAATATATCCTAATGATAATGTTATTCTATCAAGTTGATGCTGGTGATTGTACTTTGGTTCTATTTTTGCCAAGGTACATTGACTTTTTTTGTTTTTTATTAATAAATAATGCAAGTAGGCACATAAAAGCTGAAAAAGTAGCCTGATTCATAGTTTCAAAGGAGTTCCCAGTGCAACAACTGTGTGGAACTAATCTGGTGGACAATTAGTTTGTATGATGTAAAATGAAGTTGTGAGCCCAATTTTTTTTTTTTTTACCAGAAAGATATTACCCAATTCATAGTAGTACTTTTGGACAGGACAGTGAATTTTGCCTCTGTCACTGTCATTGCTAATTAAAAGAATGTGGTAGCCAAATTTATTTAATATAATTTCTTATAACAATGTCTTTGAAGGTGTTCTTAGTTTATCGATTTGCTTGCTACTGGTCATATATTATTTTTTTCATATTTTTCTGACTTCTGGATGCTAAATCATTAATGTGAAGATATGATACCATATTCTGTTTCCATTACTTTGTTCAGTATTGAACCTGTCATAGAGTGATGGGTCAAATCATTTTCGTGAGGGTCATATAGCGATGGTTCAAATCAGTATTGGTAGTTTGTTAGAGTCATGATAGATTCAGGGATGGCACATATCAGTAAATTAGTGTAGCAATAGGCCATTTTGTGTTGTCTTGAGTGTGTTGCTTATTATTATCTTTTTTGAGCAATGTGAAGGCATGGCTACAATTGATGATTACAGTCTGACATGTTATGCGTGTCGTTGGATCAATGTGAATGCTCACTGCACTTCTGCATACAAAGGGAAAATAAGCAAAGCTTATTGTCTAAGCATGCATAAATGTCAGAACTTTTGGATATTGATTTCACAATCTGTGTTAGGTACTGAATTCATTAATTTTGTACAACTTTGCAAGTAAGTTAAGTGTACCATGTCATGGTTCCTAGGGTTTGCTGATTTTCATGAATGGCAGTGACGTGCAAGAGATTTGTGTGGCATGCATGCATCTTTTTGCAGTCTGTTTATGTGGGTTGACTTTTTCGTAATACTCAATGAATCAATGAATTGATTTATTTTATGTAGCTATCTTTTGTTGCCTTAGACAGATGATTCATTACTTTATTGATTGTGTTCTGGTTTAGTCATGTCAGCATGGTTGTGACATTTCTTATCAGAAGTTATAGGTTCACGCATAGATCATTATAAATTGATGTCAAGTGTTTGAATGTTTTCTACCTGTGTGGAGCTTCAGATCTTGTAACTTGAAAATCCAAACAGTTAATGACTATGTCTTCTTCAAATATATCAATGCTTAGAGTTGTTGATGATTCTACCGATCGTTGGAAGATTGTTGTTCGTGTTATTAGGAGGTGGAACGTATATCAAAAGGACTCACCCAATGACATTTTCTGTATTTGTTTCCTTCTCATCGATCATGAGGTTTGTTATAACAGCTATGAAATTAAATTGACATATATTCAATGTGTTATTCATTTGTTTTATTTACAATGTTAACTTGTATATGCCATTACTTTGAATTATTAAGCTTATGCTAAATAAATGTTTGATGGATGGATACTTAAAAAATACAGGGAACAAGGATCCAAGCGGCTGTTACAAACAGGACTGCTTTCAAGTTGTATGAGGACAAGCTCTTGGAGGGGAAGGTTTACTTCATTGCTAATTTTTCTGTTGTTAGAAACACTAAGGGGTACAGGCCCACTAATCATTCATTCAAGATTACTATGGGTTATCATACCTATGTCAAGGAAAGAGAAGCTGATATCCCTGAATATTCATACAATTTCTTACCTATTTCTGAGATTATTGAGCTCACCCGACAGAATAACATTGATTATCTGATTGGTGGGTATTCTAGATTGGATATGGTGTGTACTTTTAAAATTTTCTTAATAATATTTGTATGTAGAAAATAATTTTAAGCATCTAATTATTGTATTTATTGACAGATGTTATTGGATTTGTCACCACCGTTGGATCTCTTGAAGAGTGTCATTTCAATTCTGAGACAAACAATAGGATATGCTTGACTTTATTTGATAACCTGTATGAAACTTAAAAAATATTTGTGTTAACTTCACTTTTTCTTTGGGTAATGATAATTGTGCATTGATCTTGCATTTTTTATGTCAGTATATTAACTTCATTGTCGCATGTTTAGGGAAAATTCTGTTTCTTGTGTTTTGTATGATGAGTGTGCAACAAATGTGTGCATGACTGATTTTACTAAGATGGACGCCCCAGTGGTCATTCTCATTCAGCTTGCAAGGATTGGTTTTGATGAGAAAGGTGATCATTGTAGACATTTTTGATAGTTTGTTTGTGTAGTTTGCAAGATGCTAAAGATTAAGATGGTAAATTGTCATTTTAATATGCAGGGAAGGTAGAGATTTGTAGTGCTTTCCATGCAACTAAGATATCATTTAATATGAATTATCCAGAGGTTAGGCAATTTATTGAAAGGTATGAGTATTTTTTAATTTATGTTTATGTGTAATTTTCTTATGTTTTCCTAATGTCATGTTCTGATGAATTTCGGTAATGACAGTGCAAAGACATTTCCCTCTCCAACAATCAGTACGATATCTGCAAGTGTTGCATCTCAAACTTCCAATACTTTTGAAAGCACTCTTCTTAGTAGTCACCCTTTAATTCCCATTGCTGATATACCAAAACAGCGTGTGGTATATAAATACTTGATTCGTTAATTTGTTTGTTTGCTTATTTTTCATAAATCTAAGGAATACATTTTTGTGATTTATTGCATTGGTGTAGGATGATTTTTTCCTGATTAAGTGTAAGGTTATCAAGCTAGAGACTACTCATGATTGGAAATATGAGGCATGTACAAGGTGCGGCTGTAAGCCAAAGGAAGAGGCTGGGAAGAAGACATGTTTGAGCTCAGTGTGTAGGAAGAGGCCATTGTATTTCGAGTGGAAGTAATGATATTGCAATTATTATTGACTATTGATGTTATATAATTTTGTGTGACATCGATTGGCATGAATTTATGTAATTTTTTTTTCATGCTTAGGATGAGGGTGCATTATACAGTGGAAGATGAGTCAGGAAGAGTTGTTGTTGCGTTCTTTGAAAAGCTGGTTAGAGAATTTGTTGGTAAAACTCTTGCACAATTGGAAGAGGAGCTTATCAAGGTTGAATCATAATATTCAATGACTAATGCTTTATGTGAATGAGTTAACGGGTTAAATATTTAGGTTACTCCATTTATGCAGAAGGAGCGTCACTATGATTTTCCTGAAGACCTGGACATTCTTGTTCGTAAGACACTACTATTGAAGCTGAAACTCAAGAAGTATAATGCTGAATTCCCAAATTCAAGCATTTCTGTATCTTCTTACACTCATATTGCGGATCTTATGGATGAATTTAACAAAGTAAGATTATATATATTAAACTATTTTGTTTTGTGTTTTATATGTTATTATCAATTTATGTTGTAATTCAAAATTTTTATGATGTCATTATTATTATTATTTTTTTGCCAAGGTTGGAGAGACAAGTGAATATGTTGCGGATAAGGTATATTAATGGTTATTATAATAATCTTTTAGAATCTTATCATAGAGTAGAGATTTTTAAATGTGATTTTAATGTTTCATGTAGGATTCTCAGTATGTAATAGTTGATGAAGAGTTGACTGAGGGCAGTGTTGTCCCCGAGTCAGTACCATGTGTTACTAATGCCAGTATTGATTTTGAGTCTGTGACATGTTTCTGAGCCCAATATTATCCTCGACTCTGTGCAACATATTACTGAGGGAAGAAAGGAGGAGCATGCTGATCTAGATGAGGTCCCTTTATCTCAAATCAATCCAACAACAACATATAAAGGAAAGAGAAAGATTGGTGTGAAAAAGAGTTCTGTTGTCAAATCCAAGGATGTGATTAAGTCTGACGTATCACCTGTGAAGAATGCTTGGAAACCTTTGAAGGCTATCAAACAGGAGAAGAACTGAGGACTTGAAGTTATTCCTGTTGCTTTTGTTTTCAAGAATAGGTGGAATCACCTTTGTTATGTATTAGTTTCCTTGTCTGTATTTTGCTGTCATGGTCGTGTCTGCAGCAATTATGCTAAGTTGTTGTTTGCATCAGTTATTTTGGCCTTCAGTGGCATTGTCTTTAGAAGTTACTTGACTTATCTGTCATTGTAATGGGGAATGAATTCATGTCATATTATGCATGTACTATGTCAAATTATGAAATGCAGTAATATTATGGTATTTAGCTACTTACGAAAACTTAGTGTGTGTTTTATCTAGATAAATTTCATGAAAAAATTTGCTAATCCAATTTAATATAGTTTGATAAGTAGTGCTTTAAATTTTCATAGTTATCCAAATTATGAGTCAAGTCAGTCAGGTTTATGCAATATAGCTGTTATAACTATTTATGTTAGATTAATGGTGGTCTTTCTGGTAATATCGATCAAAATTTTGATCATAGGATGTCAATTTTTATCCAATTATATTCACAGCTTAGTCACTGGCAGAATGTTATATATATTAGTGAGATTTGTAATGTCGAAATGAGCTTTTTTCTATAGTATCTTGGTTTACTTTATAATTAATGGGAGCTGTTGATAAAATAAGCATACCTGTAGTGACACTGAAGTAATGTTAATGACCATTTACATACTCTAATTTTGTAATTTTTGTCAAATATAACTATTCTAATTGAAATTCAAGTATCTAAATAATTCTAGATGCTGGTGAATTTATGTGTTTTTTATAAGGAAGACATCGATTACATCAGTAATTATTCATGCACATACAGTGATGGGAATAATCATTCTTTATAGTCATATCTATTTTTTTTACTGTCATATATGGTAAGTATGCTTATTTGTTAGATTACTATCATCTTTCGTATCATGTGAAGGAAAACATTACATAAGAAGAGAAAACTATGAAAGGATTGGTAATGGTGAATGACTGAGTAGGGTGCTATTGTCCATATGATATATTTTGTGTAATATATATATATATATATTATTTTTCAGATATATAGAAGGGCTGAACAAAACTGACATATGTAGCACTTGTCATGTCTAAGGATAGGGTCTATGATGACTTGTGATATACACATCTGTTGGTAAGAAGATTATAATATCTTATACTTATTGCAGGACGCAATGCAGAGAGAAGTTACACATATGTAAGCTTCATGGTTTGAACTTTTCAATAAGTATATATTGAAGAATCATTGGTTTTATAGTAAATTGGCCACAACAAATTAGATCTTAGTTTTCGCTTTGTGTTTAGTCATGGTTAGGAGAAGAGTCATCAAGGACCAGGATGATACTGTTGATTCTGACAGTAATTTTGCTGATTATGTCCCATCTTCATCTATGAGTTTGATACTCAATTCTTCATGTGCAGTTTCTAATCCAGAGATAAGTAAGTGTCTAACTTAGAACTGATTTGTTGTTGTAGTTTATTTTTTTGTGATGGCTATTTTGACATTACCTCTAGGTGGTTCAGCAATCATGAGAACAAATTCATCGGGCAATGTTTTAGCTTTGAACAAGTTAATTAATCAATCTCCTTATACTCCCGGTATGATTTATTTTTTTTAAGTTTTTAATGTACATTTGGTTTTTTTTTTCAATTTAAGTACTGAGTTTATATGAAATATGAAAATAGTCTGATTTGGTGATGAGGGTGCTAATTACGACTTCAATGCTGTGAATATAGAATCTATGGAAGGGAAGGAGAACTTGTATGATGAGAATAGGATACTTTTGAGAAATACTGATGCTAGATCAACTGTTACGAACAATGGATTATTTGGATGCAAACGAAGAGGAAGAGCTATTGCTTTACAAGAGATGACTAATATGGCTTCTAACCTTGAATTCAGCTTTCAAGAGTTATCTAAATCTGGTAATATGACAAGTTTTATTTATAACAGAACCATACAGAGGGGTATCATTTATTGTATGAGTTTTGTAAATCTGGGATATTTGTGTATAGGTGATATACAATCGAACGGCACAAGTGGTAAGAAGGCTCGGAAGAGGTTATCATGTGTCAAGAATGATAAGTTCCCAAGTCAGTTAACAATGTCTGATTGTGACAGCACAATGCTTTGTACAAATAGTCAGCCTCAAACATTAACACCTTCCTGTTCAGCTACATTAAATCTGGGGAGCTCTGTTCCAGGTTTTATTTCATATTGTATTATTAACTCCTTCCTATTCAGCTATATTAAATCTGGGTAGCTTTGTTCCAGCTTTTATTTTATACTGCATAGCATCTTACATGTGTGGTGTTCTGGAATATTATTTTGATTACATGTAATTGGTTTGTTGAGGTTCTTTTATCTTGTCTGTTGTTTCTTCAATTAATTTCAAATTTATCTTTGTATTAATCTTGTCTATAATTAGTCTTTTGTGATGTTCCCATAATCGATGTCCATATATTCAGTTTAATTGTGTATACCAGTCCATGTTAACTATTATTACTGACTTAATTTTATTCTGATATACCATTGATTATGTTTCATGGTTCATTTGCTTAATACACAAAACTTTTTTAAGTTAAAGGTGCTGCTAGAAGTAGCAAGAGGAGTTCATTTTTTTCTTCGGAAGAATTAATGCATCAATTCTCTGAAATGGGACGCTATCATAATACATTTAGACCAGAGAGTGTTAATGGTTCTCAACATTATGATTTAGTGTCAGGTATGTCTTCCTTGGCTATGTTGGTAACCAAAATTAGTCATAGGGATATTCAAATTTTTTTTTTTGCTTGTCTTTATTGTCGTATACAATTATCTCATAGTAAATGGTTTTTATTGATAGTTGGGTTTGGAATGATGTCTATGTTTTCAAATTTTTGCCATGCTGCGTGTAAACATCTTAGTTATGCTTTATGTTAATATTTGCTTTAAAATTTGTCAAGTTATTCAACAGGGTCATCGAGGTGTTAAAGATACATCCTTATGTAGTTTAAATTGGGTATGTTGAGGCGTGGCCCAATACGTTTGATAGGATTGTGGACTTCAGTATTTTAGGTTACTAAATTTTGGTTAGCCCAAACACCGAATAAAAAACTATGGGTTAATTTAGTAAGTCCAGGATTTCTTTATTAGCCTAGTATTCAGTATGTTCAATTTAGATACATTCAAAAAAAAAAATTGGGCTGATAAGGAAGATGCATGATTTGAATGTTTATTTCTTACTTCGATGATTTATTATAGGTTTAGTACAAATGGTAATATCTAACCAAAAAAATATAAAAGGTAACAAGTATGAAATTGTTTCGTTATAAATTTTTTTAGCTTTAAATTGAAGAGAACAGTTACCCGAGTCAACTACTCAAAATTAATGTGACATTTTTATTATGTTTTAATTACCCTAAAAAAATAAAGATAGAAACAAAAAAAAACTTCTTATTTACAAAAAGGAAAAAATAAATTGTTTACAAAGGTGGACTTGATCTAGGATAAAAACCTAGGACCTATGTACCTTTTAGAGGGATCAAAACCCACGTAGTTCAGAGATAAAAATGTTTGTCACTTGTTTGTCATTTTTTAGAAAATATTTATTCAATTAATAAAGGTGTTCTTTTGTGGATTGATATTTTTTAATACATGAAAATAATTTTTGTATTTTTATTTAGAAAATATTGTTTTGAAAGAAATTTTGGATTACTCTTCCTGTGGAGATTTTCATAACCTCACACAGAGAATAATCATTCGAGCTTGCAGAGGTTCTAAAAACCTCACACAGCTTTGAAAAATATTTTAAGATTATGTATATACATATTTTTTTAAATTTTTTTATTATTCATTTATAAACATGTGCCCAAAATTTTTTTCTTTCTTTTTATTTCAAAAGGAAAACTTGCACAACCATATTGGTATCCCTGCGGAGACTACTATAGTCTCATACTGTTTACCAATAAATCTAGATACCTACAAAGATTCTGAAAACCTCACATGGTACATATTTAAAAAAAAAAAGCGCCTTTAAAAATAGAGAGAAAGAATACCGAAAAACAATTTATTGAAATTCAAGTTAAACACAGTAGCTAAAAATGAAAGTCTATACCTAATGCTCTATTTATTAATTGGCTTATCTTCTTTTTTATGAAAAAAATTCTGAGAGTCTTTCTTCAACCCTTACTCTCTAATTTATAGACTCTACCTAGGGTTTTTTAATTTTTTTTTAAATTTTTTTAAATTATAACTCATAATATAACTTCTTATTTAAACACTAAATCGTCATCAAATTGGGATTTTTTTTTATTTTCATTCTTTCTAAATTTTTACAATTATGAACCCAAAAGGCATTTCTAAATTGAGGAGTCAATTATCTTTAATAAGGAACTTTGATTTTCATTTTTAAATTTTCTTATTTTATTTTTTTAAAGACTCTACCTTGTATTTTCTAATTTGGAGGTCAATTAGCTTTTAATTCTTATTTTTTATTTTATTATCATTTATTGTAAGAGGGATATTCTTATTTACTTTTTCCTTTTTAATTTGCCACATGGTGGATTTCTCAAACTTAGCTTTCAAGAAAAAAACAAGGAGGATATTATTCTTTTATTTCTTCTTAATTTGTTTATTTTCATTTAATATTTTTGTGGGGCGCGCACAAAATTGGGTGTTCCAAATGGGCTATTTAACGGGGTAGTCATTGAAATGAGCTAATTAGCCGAAGTATTTGGATTTTTTTCCCAATATTGGTCAAAGGATGGAAAAATATGTTACGTTATTTGATATGTTTTCAAAAAGAGCAGTGATAATTGTGATTAATTTTCCATATCGCGAGGAACACTGTAAGTAGTACTTTAGTCCCAAAGTATTTAGTGTCTATATATATATTAGTATTAAATTGTAAACTTGTCGATATTATAAAGAATGTGTAGTATCTCATCTTTTATTATGCATTACTAATGTAGTATCTCAACTAAGATAAAACAATATTGCTTAGAAATAAATGGTGATATAATTGATATATATTCTTATTATGTGTGATTTATATATTGAATATTTATGTAGTGATCTATTTTATGTTGTAATAGGACCAATAGATTTGCGGTACAATGATGTACATTTTGCATATAATGGGAACCATAGCATTGATAGTGAAAGTGATGGTAATTTGTCAGATCAGTCTGAAGGTAATGATATGTATTTTTTATTTTGCATGATTATTTGTATTATTACCATTATTTGAATTGTCTCCTATATGCAGTTGATGAATCAGGTGGTATGCATTTCATATCTAACATGGTGCATATTTCTAGTGAGGATAATTCTTCCAACCCCCATTCATTAGTCGGTATGATTAGTGTCTGTTTCTTGTGTTAGTTTGTTTGAAAAGTCTTGTCAATACATGTATTATTAATTTATACCTTGCCCTATACAGATTACATAGATGAGGGTGATCCAACTTATAGATGTCAATCATGTGGTGCTATGATGTGGTTCAATGAGAAAGTTGGGAATTGCAAATCAATAATGACTCCTAGATTTTCAATGTGTTGTTTGAATGGAAAAGTTCAGCTTCCATTGATGACTCCACCTCTTGAATTGTTCATCAAGTTATTCTTTGACAAAACATCAGCTGAATCAAAGAATTTCCATTTGAATGTGAGGTCTTACAATAACATGTTTTCTTTTACTTCAATGGGAGGCAAGATTGATCATTCAATGAATCGTGGAGGCAGTCCATACACCTTTGTTCTTTCTGGTTTGAACTATCATAAGATTGGCAGTTTGTTACCTCCAGAAGGTGCAAAGCCTGTGTATTCTCAGCTATATATATATGATACTGAGAATGAAGTTTCAAATAGAATATCTGCCGTCAGGTATGCATTGTTATTTTACTAACTGTCATAATATTTATGTCCTTATTATTAACCTATATGTTTACTTATATTTTTATTATCTTGGTACAGCAAGCATATAAAGGAGAGCACTATTGATCCTCACATTGTTGACAAAATAAAAGATGTTCTTGATGAGGTTAATCCACTTGTCAAACAATATCGGTTGGCGTCTTCAATGATAAATGTGCCACAACATTCTGAGTTGAAGTTATGCTTAATCAGTACCAGAAATCAAGATGGGCGTAATTATAACTTGCCATCTGCATCTAAGGTTGTAGCTTTAATAGTTGGTGACATTGATAGGAATTTTAGTAGAAGAGATGTAATTGTTCATGAATTGTCAGGTTCACCTCAACGTATAGATGAGCTGCATCCATCATATCTCCCGCTTCAATATCCGATTTTGTTTCCAAGAGGTGAGGATGGTTATAGAGATGATGTTGAACATCATGCAGAGACTCTTAGTAGAACCAAAAAGAAGAAAATGCTTAGCATGAGGGAGTATTTTGCATATAGACTGATGTCAAGGGAAAATGAAATCTCAATATTGCTACATGCAGGAAAACTATTCCAACAATTTATTGTTGATGGATACACAATGATTGAATCGCAACGATTATTATGGGTGAGGACACACCAGAAGGAACTAAGGGCTGATTTATATCAAGGGTTAACAGATGCGTTATTAAGTGGGGAAAGGAATGCTTCATCAGTTGGGAAACGTGTCATAGTGCCTTCATCATTTACTGGGGGCGCACGATATATGCTTGGAAATTATAAAGATGCCATGGCTCTTTGTAGATATTTTGGATACCCAAGCATTTTCATTACATTTACATGTAATCCAGCATGGCCTGAAATAACAAGATATTGTGAGGGTAATTCTTTATTATCATCTAATAGGCCAGATATTTTGTCACGAGTATTTCATATGAAGTTGAAAGCCTTGATGTCAACAATTAAGAAGAAGAAGATATTTGGCAGAGTTTGTGCAGGTATATGAATTCTACATCTTGCTTTACTTTTTGTAGTGATAATGACATTAAAATGACTAATTATTTTATCAAAATTTTATTCCTTTCTTGTGTAGATGTATACACCGTAGAATTTCAAAAAAGGGGTTACCTCATCCACACATTCTGTTGTTTCTTGATAAAAATGATAGACCTAAAGATGCAAATGATGTTGACAAAGTTATATCTGCAGAGATACCGGATGAGGAACAAGATCCTGTTTTGTTTGAACTAGTGGAAAAGTTTATGGTACATGGACCATGTGGTCATTTGAATAGGAAATCACCTTGCATGAAAGATAATAAGTGCAGCAAGTATTTTCCTAAAAGATTTGTTGACAACACAAGCATTGATGATGACGGTTATCCGACGTACAGGAGAAGAAATGATGGGAGAACTGTAGAAATAAGAGGTATTCATTTGGATAATCGCTTTGTTGTTCCGTATAACCCATCTTTGTTGTGGCAATTCCAAGCTTATCAACGTTGAGAAGTGTAATCAATCTTCTGCTATTAAGTACTTATTTAAGTACATTAGCAAGGGTAATGATCGTGTGGTGGCCTCTATTTATGATACTTCACAACATCACAATGGTGAACGATCCTTTGATGAGATTCAACAATATTACAACTTCCGATATATTTCTGCATGTGAAGCTGCTTGGAGGATTTTTGCCTTTGAAATTCATCATAGGTATCCCGCTGTTGAAAGGTTGAGTTTCCACTTGCCTAATCAACAATATGTTATATATTCTACTGGTGATGATGTATCTGAACTTGTAGATAAACCAAGGGTGTGTGAATCAATGTTCCTTGCATGGATGGAAATAAATGTACATGATGTGTTTGCTAAAACATTGACTTACTCTGAATTTCCTCATCATTATGTGTATATTAGAACTAAACGAGCTTGGAAGCGAAGGGAAAAGGGGTTTGCAATTGGAAGGATTACTCATACTCCACCTTTTTCTGGAGAACTCTACTACCTTCGTATTCTAATTACTAAGGTTAGAGGTCCAACTTCATATGAGGATATTAGAACTGTGAATGGTGTTCTTTATCCCAATTTCCAAGCTGCATGTTATGCCCTTGGATTGCTAGATGATGATAATGAATACATAAATGGCATCAAGGAGGCATCATTATGGGCTTCAGGTTCAATGTTAAGGAAGATGTTTGTTAGCCTGCTTCTTTGTTCATCATTAAGTCGGCCTGATTATGTATGGAAAGAGACATGCAAATTATTGTATGAGGATTTGTTATACATTCCGTGTAATGATCCGATGTCTACATGTGAGTTTCCAATATATCTTTTATGCTTTAGTTGTATCTTAAAGTTTTATTGTGTTGTTGCATTAAACTTTATGAATAACGAAGTATGTAGTTGATTCATGTTGTTCTTGTGTCTACAGGTATATCTATTTCAGATACCATGAAAGAACAAGAAGCGCTGAAAGAGATTGAATTATTGTTTCAACAGAATGGCAAAAGTCTTATTGACTTCCTATCACTTCCTTGTCCTCCGAAATGCGTAAACCTGGATGTAAGAAATCATTTGATCTTACAAGAATTGAATTATGATCGTGATGTGTTATTAGATGAGTCAAGCAGGCTTATGAATCTGTTGAATATGGAGCAAAGAAATGTTTTTGAAGTAGTGATGTCTTCAATTAATTCTAAAACTGGAGCATTTTTCTTTGTATATGGGTATGGAGGGACAGGAAAGACATTTCTATGGAATGCATTAACATCAACAATTCGTGCTAGAGGTGATATTGTCTTAACAGTTGCATCTAGTGGCATAGCTGCTACTCTATTACCATCCGGAAGAACAGCTCACTCAAGGTTTGCAATCCCTATACAAGTCAATGAAGATTCTGTTTGTAATATCAAACAGAATTCACCTTTGGCTAATCTTATTATAGCTACAAAGTTGATTATATGGGATGAAGCTCCGATGGTTCAGCGTTTTTGTATTGAAGCTTTTGATCGAACATTAAAGGATATTATGCATTCAAATCATCCTTTTGGTGGAAAATGTGTATTAATGGGTGGTGACTTCCGTCAAATTCTCCCTGTTATTCCACGAGGTACAAGAGCTGATATTGTTAATGCATGTATTAACTCTTCATATTTGTGGGAGTATTGCACAATTTTCCATTTGACAAAGAATATGCGTTTGTCTTCATCGTCATCTAATGATAGTTGTGATCGGATACAAAAGTTTTCACAATGGCTTTTGGACATTGGTGAGGGTAAGGTAGGTATGTCGCATGATGGTGTAGCAGAGATAGAGATACCATCTGAATTGTTGGTTGATAGTTGTGAAGAACCTATTTGTGCCATTGTCTCATCAACTTATCCAGATTTGTTCAATAACTTGAGTCGTACCTCTTACTTCAATGATAGAGCCATATTAGCACCTACAATTGATGCTGTCAATCAAATCAATGAATATATGTGTACAATGATGCCTGGTGATTCTGTTGACTACTTTAGTTGTGACTCAATTTGCAAAACATCTCAAGATGAAGATGGTGTTGAAGATCTGTATACTCCTGATTTTTTGAACACTATAAATTGTTCTGGATTACCAATGCATAAACTAACTTTGAAGGTCGGAATGCCAGTCATGCTATTAAGGAATATTGATCAAGCATCTGGGTTATGTAATGGGACTAGGCTACGCATTACTCATCTTGGTAAATCTGTTGTTGAGGCAGTGACATTGAATGGATCTAGGCCAAATGAGAAGGTTTTAATACATCGAATGGATATGAATCCTTCTGATAGTTGTTTGCCATTTATCATGAAACGAAGACAATTTCCCATTGCTGTTTCATTTGCCATGACAATTAATAAAAGTCAAGGTCAGTCACTTCATTTTGTTGGCTTGTATTTGCCTAGACCAGTGTTTACACATGGGCAACTGTATGTGGCTCTTTCTAGAGTGAAATCAATTGAAGGATTGAAGATTCTATTGCACGATGGTGAAAGGGGAAGGAGTAGGACTACGTCCAATGTTGTTTACAGAGAAGTGTTTCAAAATCTTGGTATGCGTAAGTGATATCTTTTTTTAATGATCAGAAAATTTGTGATATTGAAATTATATAATTAAAACATGTGCTATATTTTTTTAACAGACATTTGATTATAATATGTACTAATGTTTTTTTTTTGCTGATTTGTTAGTTGTCATTTTTCTTGTATTAAGTTTTATATTTGTTCTCAATTACTGTTTTAAGTTCCGTTTTACTATCTAAATGATCAGGTTTAGATTTTAAGAATTTTTTATGTCATAACTCAATAATTTAATGTAAACATATATGTTTGATTTGGCATTGGCCTTCAAGGTACCTCATATAAGCCCTATATTTCATTAATGATCATATCAAGAGGTTAATTTTCCAATGAGCAAACTGATTTCAGGATAACAATCATGTCCCTGCAGTTACTTTTCCCTAGGAACGTTTACTTGCAATATTTAAGTTTCTTAATTGCTGTTTTGAGGGAACATTGAGTTGTAATTAACATTTGCTTAATCTTATTGTATTTTTAAGAAAGGCTTCTATAGGTGAGTTCTTTCATTTTAAAAGTGTGTTTCTCTATATAGTATGTTTTTTTTTCATTTAGTTGTTCTGATGGTTCACTAATAAGTTGCTTCATTTTCTGTCACTGTTTTTTCTCAGTGGACTATAGTGATGGAGTTATATTGTAATCTTTCCTCTCTTAATCTCAGCAAGTGCAATGCAAGTGTGATTGTGAAAGTAGACCAGAAGAATATCAGGAAGAAGGTGTGGTATACTTTGGAAAATTGTCGTCCTGTTTTTGAAGTGGAATCTGTGGACATATTCTTTTTTGATGCTCAGGTATGCCTTTTGGAATCTCTTATTAATATTGCATTTTTTTGTCTATTATAGAGATTATATGTGGACCAATAATGTTCCTTTTTTTTTTTTTCAAGAACAGTCGTGTAATCATGCAGTTAATGACCAATGATCACATTGATCGATTTGCATTGAAGTTCGTTGAAGGTGGTGTGCACCAAATTTCTGGTATGTTCATGTTGGTGGTCTTAGTCTGCATGACAGATAGTATATATGTTTTGTCGCTTCAACCGAGGTTATAGAGAGAATAGATGAGTTTCCATGTTATTCATTTAACTTGAAAAATGTTTTTGACATTTGCTATGGAATATTGGAAGAATTTTTTTTATGGTAAGATTTTGTGATGATTTTTTATTTCTAACCGTTGAAGCCTTGAAGGAAAATCTGATTTCTGAAAAAGTTTTGGGTGATAAAGATATTTATGGACTTTTGAAATATTGGAGTTTTGTTAGTCCTATAAAGCTTATTGGAGTATACAGGGAGGAATTGGAGATCGTAAGACATGAGATGGTCACGTTAGAAGGATGGTACTATGGTTTTGATCTTGTAAGCTTAATGTGTTATCCCATTTGAATTTACATACTGATACTTTCATCATTTTGCGTTATGGAAATTAAATTTTGTCAGTCAGCCGAAGGAGTTGACTATTAAGCTTCATGATGAGTGTGCTGCGATTACTCTTGCCAAGATAGAAGCCAGGGGGTGAAAGCTGAAGATTTTCTGATTATATAATATGCTATTGGCATGCTTCATAAGAACGATGGTACAACAATTTTCCCTTCATTTGTTAATAAGTCACAAGTTCATGTTCGTAATTTCTATTAATAGCAAGATTCAACGTTTATTAGACGGAGTGAGATATTTTATCCTACTTATAGTTGTTATATGCAGGTGGACCCGTGCTTAGCTCATTTTCAGGTGCAACAAGAGTGTTATCTGATGATGATCTTAAGTAGCTGCTGTACTTGTGCACCACGATTGCTGTCGGGAATATGTACCTCCATAATATTTTTCTTATTTTCTTTTTCTGTGTTGTATGTATCCCTCCCTTTTTTAAATCATTGGGTAATTTTTGTGAAGTTCATGGCCATGTAATTAGCGGCATATGCTTTGAAAGAGTTGCTCTAATCTCATCTTGACATGATGTCCCCACATTAAGTGATGGATGGTAGCAGTCATTGATCGATATTCTTGTGGCCCGTGCAACGCACGGGGGATTTTGCTAGTTGGAATAATATCAATAATTGTCACTGGCTGTACGATGGAGCATTGAGAATACTACCATGCAACCTAGAAGAAGAACCAAAAATTGACCGACATGATACACCAAAATCAACTGAGACAAATGAAAACTTTTAAATAACTACTATAATTGGTGCTGTGAATGTATTTCCAAGAGCCATAAGGAAAAGAAGAAGAGCAAAAACATTTGAAAGAAAACCCAGCCATATGATTGACGGAGAGTGAGCAAAGCATACTCTCTGTAAGAAGAAAATAGTTAATCAAATCAGTACACGTTGGGTATAAAGAAGATAATATTTATAGATAATAATATTTACTATATGATAGACAGTAAAACTTATTATTCTACTATATCTATACAATTTCCTTTTCAGACAGGAATTCAAATTTCAAAGCACCACCAACGTCTTGCTAAATCCAATCCTCGTACGTAAAAAAGGAAACATATTTTAATACAACTCCTAATAATTTAGGCCTTACTTTATATTTTAATTTAAAAATCATAATTACTTTGCAAATTTATTATGATTAATGATTAATAAAAAAACATTATGTGAAATTATGAACCATCTAAACTAGATTTTGCTCAGCACCAAATCAAAAACTTCATTTATTTTTTGCATACTTACATTTTGAGCTTCATACTAGAGTTAACAAGGGAAAAAATTTCACTTGCATCTGGCTGCGCCTGCGAACACAAGCCAAATTTCGTAGAAAAAAATCGATGGCGCTAAATAGGTTCTTCATGAACATCCAAAGCACAAGGCAAAACATGCAGCAGGTAAAAAAATTTAAAAAAAAAGAAAAAGAAAAGAAGCAGCTTGGGCTGCTTAAATACAAGATCGATTCCGAGTCTGTGGAAATGCAGAAAGACATCTTTGACAGAACTACTCCCAATTAGACCTGACAATGCTCAAATAGCCAGATAAAAAAGAAAGGTGGCAAAAGATGAAGGATAATATGTAGCATATATAGACACTTTTGTCCATAAACTCAAGTCACTATAAAATAACTGTTGCTGATTCTGCAAGATTAAGGAACAATTTCAGAATACAAACCATACTAGAGTTTCTTGTTTCGCTTACATGCACAATTCAACACTATTTATTTACTAAATATATGGTGGCAGGCATTTGCGCAAGATAGATATCTATCTCGCAAATCAACCACAGAACCTTAGCCCATGGCATATTTCTGGGTCCATGATCGAGCAGTGGCCTCATACTTGGCTCTGTCAGTTTTGTACATATGAGCAATCTCAGGTACCAGAGGATCATCTGGGTTGGGATCTGTCAGCAGAGAGCATATGGACAGAAGCACCTGCAAAATCCCATTGTTTCATCTTACAGCAAAAATTTCTTCAAAATCAACATCACTAGCTCTCTGATAATTTTGCCATAAATTTCTAGTTCTGATGAGACGGTTTAAACTTTGGGACTGAGTTGCAGAAGTAAAGATTTCAAAGCCTAAGTTGCAACTCAGTTGAATTATACAGCCTAAATGATTAACTTCTCCAAAAATAAATCATGATCAAAATGGCAGAGAGGCATCCCAAGTATAGAAGTGGATGAAATTTCAAGGGGGAAATAGAAGAAAAGACAAGACTTTACCTTGGATATTGTGAGGGCAGGGCTCCACTGCTCTTTGAGGATATCAAGGCAGATACTGCCGTTACTATTGATGTTAGGGTGAAAAACCTTAGTGCGGAAGGAAACCTGAAATGTGATGGTGGATGGTACACTAATCATTTCCACAATTAGGAAGTTAAAATGATTAAGAGCACAAATGCCCAATTGTGACCAACAACATACACATGTATATTGGGGAAAGTGATCAACATTCGTCAAATGCTAGCCCACATCATTGGAAACCCTGATATCCTCTCTCAACATCAATGTTGATACATAAATTGCCATTAAGTTTGAAACGATATCTAACTAGAGATGAAGTTAGTGATAACACTGTAACAAATCATTCTAGCGGCCAGAATTAGACTGTTTAAAGAATAACTAAACTTCCATACACTTTTTGTTTAACTGGGGCTTCAGCTAAGAACTTCTAGGATTGTTCAACAATCTTATTAGAGCAACTCAACACGGATATTACAAAAGCAATCATATGACGCTAGTACTATTATTATTATTATTATTTTTTTTTTAAATGAAAGTAATAAACACATGAATCAGGTTTTGGATTACCTTGGGCGGCTTGAAGGGATAATCTGGAGGGAAGTGAATTGATACAAGAAACACACCACCAGCAAATGGGCTATCAGAGGGGCCCATAATTGTAGCTTGCCAATGGAACATGTCATCAGCAACAGGGCCTGAACATTGAAAACCATTACACCACAAAAGTCAAATTTCCTTCAGGTTTTGTAATGTAGTCATCATGGATGTGCAGGACATGTTCACGTATGTTGAGTATACATTCAAATTTAATAAACTTGTTCGTGACAAATGAAGCTATGTAGGCATTAACATGTACAAGAATGTTAGACGCACGCTATGCGCACAAGTGCAACCATGTAATGCATAACTTCTATGGACATTCCAAGTTTAAAGTTGAAGTCTATTCCTGTAAAGCATCAACCATAATGCTTTCATTGCTTGCTCTTTGCATGTAGTGGTCTGTTCATTCAATTGATGTATGTCCAAACCTAATCTTCTGAAGGAAAAATAAGGGAAGACGGAAGAAAAGAGCACAAACCAGCGCTGCAAGACGCAGGAGGGTCTTTCTGCAGATCCTTCAATTCCTTGTTGATTCGTTTTGAAGCCATTGGTCAAGGCCTTCTCGCTGCAAGAAAATATTTAGTTAAGGAATAAAATGGTCATTCGGGGCACATGGCGCAGTTGACTAAATCATTAAACATCCGAAAATTGCGGAAGAATACAAAAGCATTAATGACAGTGACCACACGGGCCAAAAATCAACCCCTGCTCAAGAATTATGAGCGAATATCCACAATCACAAGGCATATTTGCTGAAGGATATGAATATAACAAGAATGCAAATTTTCAGTTAAGTCTGAACACAAAGGTTCTACGCTACCAGTTAATTCATTCTATTCGTAGTTTATTTATTTACTAAATGTTTTGGAGACTCGTCCAATCGTTAGCACAACAACAAAACAAAGACCAAGACCCCAATTTAATCGCTAATTCACCCAGATGAACTTCCTATCCATCTACCCCTACCTAGCTTCTACCGACCAGTCAAATATCTTAAGAACCGTATGTGTATGTATGTAGAAGCAAGAAATCGCTTCTAGCATGGGAAAAAAACAGATCAATTAACTCTTTACCCCGGAAAAAGACGAATCAATTTTTAATAAGGAAAAAAATATCAAGCATAATATCTGAGACCAGAGACAGAACAGCCGCATATCATTTCACACCCTCCAACTCTCAATCTCTTTACAGGTGAATTACTCTATCCTAAACGGCAACTAAACGAGAAAAGAGGGGAATGAACAGGAATCGAGGTTAGAATCGAAAGAAAGAGAATCTTGAAACACAAAAGTAACACAGTAAAAAAAAAAAACCAATAAAATCGGATTAAGATAAGAATCAAGCAAAGGAGGGAGAGAATCGGAGAAACCTGTGACTAGGGTTTGAGGGATGATGCGTGATGCTGATGATGAGAGAGCTGCCAAACGGAGAAGGGGACGGGGAAAAAGAGTAATTATACGGTAGCGAGTATAAGAGCGTTTGCGTGTGAAGGTGAAGGTGATATATAGGAGAGGGAGATCGTAATTCGTAAGGCGTGAGGCCGTTTGTAGCTGAGCCCCGGTGCTTCGCGGTACCTCCCTCCCTCTGCCACGCACTGGGCTTACCTGGCAAAGCTATACGCCGATTTGATATGCCCTTTGTTCTCCTTCCCAATATTCTCACTTCGAAGTTAAATATAAGAATTAATTAATTAATTAAAATAAATTAAAAAAATAAGTTGAGTTAGTTATTTGTAATAAATATATACTCCTCTGATCCTTAATATAAAATCTATATAACTAATTTAATTAGATTAAGGAAGTTAGGTACATTAGTGAATTATAAGAAATATGACACGTTTTTCCTAAAATACCATAATCATCTTTCTTAATGTCTTCTCTTCCTCTTCTACTTGATTATGGTTGAGGGAATATCCATAGGGGTAATTTAGAGAAAATTAATAAATATGAAAATGGGTCTTATATTTAGGACCAAAACTAACTCAACAATTAGATCCTATATTAAGGACCGGAGGAATATTATTTTTCTTAAAATATCTTTATTAATAGAATATATTGGTTAGAATTGCCATTATTAAAAGGATTACTTTGAAAAAATACATAAATTTGAGAAATAAAGTGGACTGAGGTCTTATATTTAGGATCAAAATAAAAGTCAAATGATGCCTTATATTAAGGACCAAAGGTAGTATTTCAGACATACTAAGAAAAATTTTAAACTACATTAACTTTATGTTAAAATATGACAACTTTTCAATTTTATTCCTATATAATATTTTAAAAATAAAAATATTAAATACTCTATTCACAAGTAAATAAATAATACTCCTCTAATATTAAATATAAGATCTATTTTGTATTGTAAGACGGGAGGAAGATTACATTGTGCACGGATAATTACCAAACTTAAATGCATCATGGCCCTTCATCAACCAAACATTTTTAAAGATAGTGAACCAATCATTTTCAAAGATAGTGCACGGATCGGTGGTTCCATGTGAAGCAAAATTTTGTACTCTATATATAAACGTGGATGTGGCACGGTAAGTCTGAAAATTCGTTTTAAAAAATGGTGTCTTCACATTTTAAATTATTTCATACCTACCATCTAAAAAACTAACTATAAAACTAACATTAATCAACTACAAAAAAAAGTAATCATCCAATGAAGTATTGGCGTCAGAAGAAAGAGAGTAGAAAAGGTGAATAAAAGGGAGAGACGGGGGTGGAAAAGATAGAGAGAGAGAGAGAGAGAGAAAAGGAGCGGAAGAAACGAGAATAATGACACAGGAAGAAGACAAAATTCAAAGATATTTAGCACTGGAGGGAGAAACGAAGAAAATATACAAACTGTGTAGTGTGTAAAGCAAGAAATGCCAATAATTTAATAAGGATAATTTTGTACATCTACATCTAAAATTACATTAGGCATTTTATATATAGGACCAAAATTTATACTTTTTCTACCTTATAAATAATACCAAAAAAGTGTATATATAATATGTATATATGTATATATATATATATATATATATATATACTTTGATCCTATCAAACAGAGCTTTTGCAACTTATTTTCCTAACCACAAGATTTCAAATTTTTGTATCAAGCAAGAATGGAAATAGGCTAGACTAAGTTTTAGTTAAATATGCTTGGGCTTGTAAGATTTCAAATTTAAGTTTGTATGACTCAAGGATGAAAATAGAATAAGCTAGATTTTAGTTAAATAGGCTTGGCTTGTAACAGATATTTAAAGCTTAAGTCTAGGTTAAGCTTGCATATAAGTTTTTTTTTTTTTTTTTAAGGTTTGAGTCTGAGTTTTTAAAAAGCCTAACAATACCTAAGGCCTTTCTACTTAAAATGCGAGCCTTTAAATAGGTTTAGAAATCTATGTTTTCAAGTTTATATATAACTCTTCAAACCAAATCAGAAGTTTATGTTATTTTTTAAAGCATAGAATTCATTCTTACTTGCAATATAAGAGTTTATTAAGCAAAAGAAAAGATCACTATAATTATCCTAACAAGTAAGAATAAGAAAAACTAATAATCTATTTACTAAATAAGTATATTTTGTAAAATTAACCAAGCATAAAAAGTAGTGTGTAAAGCTGGATTTTATCTCTTTTGATTTTCCTATAGAAATTATGGCAAACTTTTCCTATTGAGATCATAATTTTTCATTTAGGCATTGCTAAAATAAACTTATAGCATTCGTTATTGAAAGAAATAAAAATAAATAAATAGAGAGATGAGAGAGGCGTACAGTCACACCTTCTTTTTAAATCTCATTATACATCAATTGGAACCATTACAATGCATTTCTCAAAGCTTCAAGGTGAGAAAACTCAAGATCAAAATTTTTCGTTTTGATACTATTTGTCACTATTCACAGAATTTAGGGTCAATTTTAAAAATTCATAACTAATTGTAGAAAAGTCAAAATTAAGTGGTTCTAATTTTCACTCGAAGCTTCCCTTGAGTACTTTAAGGAAAAAATATTCACTGGACTCAATTCTATTCAAAACAATACCAAAAAAAATCGACAAAGTGCACTGTTTATATGGTCAATTTTAGTATTTTAGTCCAACCTTAGAAAGACATAACTCTACGCACAAAACTTTAATTTGAACGTTCTACCACTTAATTTAAAGCTAAAAATATGATCTATAAACCTGCCAAAACTCAGGTCCAGACTCAAAGAAATACTTATTATTTTATGTGTACTAAATTTGGCCCTTTTTAGGGACATTTTATCCACTAATTAGGTCTAACTTTTCCTTTTCTTTACCTTTTTCCTATCCTTAACCTTTTGGGCCTTATAACATACTTGCACATACATTCTCACATACTTGGACATATTCAGACATGTTCATACATGTTCAACTCCATAAAAGAGCTATTATCCAACAAATACCAAACATTCAAAATATTATATAACATAGCATAATATTCATTAATAATGTTACTAAGCATTTACATGCCTTCATTCACCACTTCTTGGCCCTTGGCTTTGCTTGATCCTCCTCCTAAGGTTAGTTTAAACATAGGGGAATGAGATTTCAAAAAAATCCTAGTAGTAAAGAATTATAATTATCATGCAATCATGCAAACATGATATGACATGCTTTTGTGTATATAACTTTTTCATTCATACTTAGTGAAATGTCATGGCAAATAAGCCAATTCATACGTATTCACATAACATAATGCCAAGGTATGCATAACATAAATATTGCAACCATAACTTTACAACATAGCATTACTATTGCAATCATAACTCAGCAGCAGAGCTTAGTCACATCATGGCATTCATTGCCCATGCACACATACACATAAATGAATGTAAGAAAGCACTTTAATCATAATTCAGTGCTACCTCTTATGTACTTAGTGACTTGTTCCCTTTTGATTTAGGGTGTCTCCTTGATGATTGGGCAAAGTGCCTAACAAACCAACATCAATGCAACCATTACAACCATTCAAGCACATTACACAATACTTTGAACATTAAACCCCTTTTTCTTAGATTTTTGACCTAATCATTTTCCTTTTGATTCAATCAATCTTCAGGTCATCCCTACATGATTTTTCATGTAGAATCCAAATATCCAATTAGATTTTACAAAATCACATTCCTTTCCCATGAACATGAATTGGCCGATTAGTACATAGTTTAAGGTTCAAAAATTCATTTTTTATTCTAATGCTCCCAAATCCATTCTCTCAACATAACCCTACACAAAATCACTATATAAACTCATTGGAAGCGTCAAAATTATTAAAATCCAATCCTTTATCCAAGAACTCATCATGGCCAAATTATAGGGTTTAGAGTTTCAAATTTTCATTTTGATTCTAATGATTTAAAACACTTTTTCTTGATGTTTTCCTCCATAAAAAACACATTTTAAATTCATTTGAATTATCAAAATGCATTGAAACAAACCCTAACCCTAAGAACAAGACTTGGCCGAATTGGGTATCATAAATCCTAACTTGATTTTCTTCCATAAATCAATCCAAATAACATCCAAACATACCAATCCAAGCTTATAATCAAAGTTTGTATCCTTCCCCAGTGTTTCCTCATGTTGGCTGAAATTCAAGCATGGTTTCCCCCTAGGATTAGTCATGATTTTACCATTCCAATTGCATAAAAATCAAACTTACACATACCTTGATTAATCCTTGGTGGAAACTTGATAGCTTGGCCTTTGCTTGAAGTGGATTGAAGGTGATTAGAGGTGAGTAGAAATTTTGGCAGCACTTCCCCAAGGTCTCCCTATTTTGGCCGAATTTGAAGGGAATGGAGGGTGTATTTATAGACCTCCATAAGCTGTCCAAACTTGCCCTTGGTCAGCTATTTTTTCTTGCTCAAAATTCCCTCCAATTTTTGGTCAAAAAGCAGAAAAAATATGAGCTACATGATCATTTCTTGCTCACCAAGTAAATTTAATCCAATGATCAAAAATTTGCCACCAATTCAACATGTGGCCTTGGGCCCTAGGGAGCATGTCCTTCCTAACCAAATTGGGCTAACTAAATGTCAAAATTTAGTTGGGAAGTAATGGAGTTGGTTTGGTTCAAGTTCAATTACAATCTTCCATCCAACTTACCCTTTTTAGCCCTAAGTTAGGAAAAATAGCTCGGGGCTCCTAAAAATTTATTTCTTCCTATGATAAATACTCATTTATTCTAAAAGTATGATCTGGAAATTTTGGAAAATTTTCACAACCTCTAACTATTTATTTCACATTTTTCTCTGAAATTGGGCTCCTATCGATCGAATTTCGGAAGTAAATGCCCCATAAATTATTCTCTTCATTTTAAATGCTTAAAAATAATTTTATAAATTCATATATATTTCCAAGGAACTCATCCATATTTTTTCTTAAATTATTGAAGCCCTTACATAATTAAAATAATTATATTTCCTCAAATCTCACTATTTCCCTTAAAAATAATTATTTTTGGGAAATTTTACCATAATTTATTTGGGGCCATTTTCACTCCCAAAATATCATAGGTGCCTCAAAAACCTCTAATTTGGCCTTT